AGAGAGAGAGAGAGTTGATCGAGCGGCGAAGAGGGTCTTCGCCTCCCTCGTGCTGCACCAGCCTATTATTTCGACCTTCCCGCGCATTCCACGACGTGATTGCTACCTGCTTTTTGCTTCCTCTCCGCGAACGAAATCCTTGGAATCGTCCGTGGATGAAGTCATTTCGAAGGAAAAGAAACGATCGCGCTCATCGCGGCAGCCTTGCTCGTTCGCGGATTCATTTTCGCCAACTGTTCCTGGACAGCCTTGTCTCTTTCTTTCTTTCCTTCTTTCTTTCTCTCTTTCTTTTTCGAGAGATCGCGATAAGCGACGGAAATTTCGAGGTCGAAGGAGTGGATGGATCGATAATGACATTTTATTTTTCGAAATAAACGTCCTTTTACAATTTTCCTCGTAGCAAGTAATTGGAATTTCGTTGAAATTTAGTTTTAGAGGAAATTAGGAAGATCGATATATCTTCGAATATTTTTGAAAATTTAAGTAAAATTGGAGAATGCATCGTGAAAAATTAAAAATTTTTAATAGTTCTTTGAGGTCACAGTAGATATCAGTAGTACTATATTTTATTATTTGAGGAAAGTTCGTATATTTTTCAATGTTATCGATATCTTTGTCGTGAAAGGATTAAAATATGCGCCTCTCTCGCGCGTAAAAGCGTTTCTACAATTCCTCGCCGTTCACTCTAATATATTAACAGTTCCTTTTTATGGGCCGGATCGTGCAAGTTCGTCAGGGTACACGGCGATGGGCAGGTTGGACACAGGGCAAGCTTGAAACGCGATACACGATTGCAATTTTACGTATGGCGAGCGAACAGGCCGACGAGTGTGCTTTATAAGGTGCTTGTTAAATTTTACAACCGGTCATTATGCCCTCGATACTTGAGTAAAACTTGAGGAAATAATAATAACGCGCGACCGTTTAACCGTACGATGCTCGTCTGTGATCCCATGGCGCACATCTCGAGGTTTCCCTAACTCACGCGAAACATTTCCCCGTATTCCTTTTCCTTCGTGCAGCTAATTTCATCCTTTCCACCTTCGTGTAATTATTTTTCACTTGAATTTATTGACTCAACGGTAATACACTTCCTCGAATTTCAATCAGATCGAAACACGGCATCGTGCATATATGTATAAACCTAGTTCTTACATTAATAATACAATTGAGAAATAAGATTATCCACCCAATTTCGAAAATTAGATATCAATTCTTCTTTATTTATTATATCACATTCATCGTTGGAAGAAAGATTCGCGTGGAAAGTGTCTAGCGAACGATTTCAATAATATCTCGAAAAGCTCACTTTTGTTCGACCAAACACGATTTCTCGACTCGTATATATACGTCATCGAGAGAGAAAACGGTGCATGTTCGATCGACGATAAATGAGAATATATCCGTTTGTCACTTGCCCGTTCCCTTGTCTTCTCGGCGCATATAATAACGCGTATAATTCCGCCATAAATTATCGGCCGGATATATTCTAATTCCGCTGCGTGGGTAAAACAGTTATTATTGCGGGTTCGCGGCTCGATATTGTGAAGCTCGGTCCGCTCGCGATGCCACTCGGATGGGAGGATGGGTTGGAAACGTGTGTGATGCCGTATGGGACACGTTCGAGCCTGGAATAATTTATTACAACTTTCTTCAAAAACGATGCTGGGATTCCAGCTGGTGAAGCGTGCGTATAAACGAGGATTGATTGCATCCTCTTGGTACGCGCACCTGAGAGAGAGAGAGAGAGAGAGAGATTGTTTAAAACCGAGATACGATGATTATGGGGCCCGATCGGCCTTCCACGTGTACGAAACGATTATTTAAATGTCACATTCACATTTTTGGATCTACCAGTCTCGAATATCCGTTTGGACGATCCATTCCGTGTGCTTATGATAACCGAGAGAGGTTATGTTATGCTTTTGAATCGAATGAATGGAATAAAAACAGGATGATTCTTTTATTGAAGGAAGATATTATTATCAAGTGATACTGTATCTTCAAGGTTTAATTTTTACGCATTTCTACGTTTCTAAACTACAAAACAATTCTTCTTCTCTCCGTGGTATTCCAAATATCAACTACTTAGTTCTGTACACAGAATAGAGAATATAATAGAATTGACGATGATTCAAGTTAAATTATCAGTCCATTAAAAATCCATCGTTAATCTTCACTCCTTATATTCTAATTCTCAACATTTTCAACAAATACACGATTATCGATTAATTCTCAACTAACTAGCTAACAAAAGTGTCGAGTCGACAGTTACTTTATTTACACGTATAGATCCCACTCGATACACTCTATTTTCGTAATCGCTAACCGCATTATGCACCTCCCCTCTCTATATCACGCTCAGCTTCCCATCCACCATCGATACCAGAGAGTACCTTCGCAACGTTCCTCGTATCTATCTCGAGGAGAAATAATCACCGTCCAGTGTGTGATTAATAACTCGACTAGTTCTTCGGCCGGTCGGCCATTTCCATCATTGTTCCGAGCTCCGGGTAACCATTTAATAGACGCGGGGAAGCCGCGTGGGCTTATCTGGATCGTGGCGTTCCATTGAGAGGCGAGCACAATGGCATTGAACGATCCTCGCGATCAATTAAATATCACCGGTATAAATATGAGTTAACGAAGGCCGGGGATCGGTCCTGGATCCGGATCGATAAATCGCGACGCCGGTGTCGGTCCGCCGAATTGATCACTTTCGTAACGGCGTTGTCTACACGGGGAGAACGTGTATAATTGGCCCTGATAAATTACGTTTTGCTCGTTTTTATTACAACGGTTTTTCTTTTTATTTATTTATGATCTTTATTTAAACAGCGAGAACGGATTCGCTTTGTTTCGCGTGTGATGAAGTTTAAACACGTAAGGTATATCGATATTTGCGATACTTTATACGTTGATTCCATTAGACTGTGTAGGTTCCATTAGGATGATGTAATTGAGGATTTGGTATTGTATTGTGTTGAAGATCGTTCTAATGGGATTGTTGAAATATTGGGTCAGTGTTGTTAGATCAATTTATTGTAGTGTATAATATAAAAAATATCGAAATTGCTTTTCTGCCATTGCCTGCTCATTTAAAATTGAAAAATGTAACATTTAGAAATGTTATGAATATGAATATATGAATCTTGTATCTCTAATATTTTTACGTTTCATTTTGTCAAAATTGTCATATTTACCATCTTTATATAGCCAACATCTCCGTATACTGCATCGTTAGAATACTCTTATCGAATAGCACAAAATTGTATACTACAAATCTAAATCTATCCTCCATTATGGCATCATTCTCGATCGATGTGATTTTTTAGATATGGTCCTAGTGAAAATGATTGGTTTACAGTTTTCAATTACAAATGGTTATTGTCGATGGAAAGTAATATTGTTTCTTGTTATAAATTGCTTTATAGGTTACCTGTAATAATTCTCGCGAGTGTGAAATTGTAAATGATTGGTGCAGTTACGTTGGGAACGTGGGTGAGGTTAAACAACGGGTTCGAGAATGATTGCGCGAATGAGGTAAAAGTCGTTTTATTTCTTTCTCTTGATGGATGTGATATTACTTTTGTAATTGACTTGAATGCCTGGATATACCCACTGTAATAATCTTTGTCTAGTGACACAAACAAATAGAGAAATTGATTAATTACATGGGATGAGGATAATTGGATGTTTAATGCATTAAAGTTAATATAAACTTAATTGTTAGATTCCAAAACTTTGCCAAACTCATGTCAGATTCATATAGTAATAGCATCTAGTCATCTCTTTGGTTTGCAAAAAATTAATTTCTTATTTTTATGAATTTCATGAATTCAATTGTATTAGTCAAATAAATTCAAAAATAAATTAATATATACAATAAGAAATTGTAAAAATTATTTTTCAAGAGTTTTATATTTTTCTCTTCTAAGAAATATATTTTATCCTTGATATATCTATTTATTAATTAAAAAAATTAAAATTATCATCTCAGCGCAGCTCATACAGTAAGGTCCATAAATCCGTGAAATTTAATTTTAAAAACTCAAATAACCATATTCGTTTGTTTTCACAGAACTTAACTTCGTGAATTGCCTCAAGAATAATCGATCACAATATCGTAATATCGTTTCTCCAAGCCTGTGGAAAATAAAAGAAAAAAAAAAAGAAAGAAAGAGGGTTAATACCACGGGTCGGTTGTTCGATGATATTTTAATTCGAGGTTATTAGCGGTAATTTTATTTTACCATATAAAGTAGTGGGTTCCATTAGTACTGTAATTGTGGCCGGGGTCTCGTTACACAGACAACCGATTCACCGTGTCTTCTTCGTCCGGCCGCTTATGACATTCTTGTTACTCTTTTGACGAGGAAGAAGAAACGTGTTCTTCATCTCCCATCGGGACTCGAACGGTCCCCATTGGTGCCTTCTTGCGCTCTTGCCGCGCTTAAAATCCAGCTAACCTAGGTCCCCGTCAAGCGTGACGGGACTACGATGAATGGGACAAGGGTCTTCTTCCTCGTCGCCGATGAATGAGACAACAGTCGTACACTTTTCTGCCTCGACTTCTTGGGAACTGGCCGACGTTGATACTCGTTAAACTCTATCGTATATTACAGAGTGCTTGGAATCAGCCAGGAAACGTACAGTAACTCACGAAAGTATTAGAGCACTATCTTATTAAGAAATTCGATTAACTCAAATAATGATTTTAAGAATTTGTATGTATATAAAACATAATAGATTATTGATGGAAATTTGAAATTCATTCTCAAATTTTTAATCTCTTTCTTTCGTGTTTTGAACATAATTTTGTATAGAAATATTTTTTAATCTGAAATTTAGATTTTCTACCTCGCATTATCATAGATTTACATTTAAAAATATACTAATTATAAGTTAATACTTAAGTTTAATATGCATGTTTTTATTGTGTTCTACTTACAAACGTTCGAATAATTTCTTGAGCTACTGGGTACATTACTGATATCTATGTTTACACATGACATGCTTTGTTCTTGTTTCCTTGAATTTACACGGTTCGGTGTCTGAATACAAAAGATATAAAACTGGAAGATAGATAGCCATAATTATTGTCATATTTTAGCGGTAATGGAAATACGATGAAGTAATTAAAAAATGAATACGAATAATTACTCGAGATGTTGAAAATAAGTGTTTATGGATGTGGTCATTGCGGTCGTAACGTATACGTGCTTGAGTTATCATGATTCTCATTTTAATCCTGGTTACTTTATTTAATTTGATTAATTCATCATATCATCATATCGTCATTCCTGTTCAAAACATTTTTTAATTCAGTTCATATCTTATTTCAATTTTAATATAATATTATTTCTGCTATATTGCTTCTATTCTAATTCGAATGTTAGGTTATACAAAACTTGAACATTATATCCAACGACGAAATAAACTTGTCTTACCATGTATTCCAATTTTCTCTATATCCAAATTAAGAACCCGTGAACTTTACAAAAAAACAACCTGGATTGATCTGTTCTGTAATTCATCTACAGATCGAAGATTCTCGAAAGTGTTCCATTCGTCGAAAGATCGAGGAATATACCGTCATTAGCCGTTAAAAACATCGGCGCCAAACACTCCTAATCTCGGTTACGTGACCGAACGAATGAATGAGCCTTCGTCCCGGTATTATACCTCTCCAGGGTACCACTTAGAAAGACGGGAGAACGAGTATGCTATCAGTGTCCTGGTTCTGGCAAAAAAGCCAGGAATAACGCGGCTGGTTGGCGCTGCCGGTTCTTCCTTGCGATCAACAATGGCGGTCACGTGTGTCGCGGCGCTTCGTTTTGTGCGCATGTGCACTCTTTCCTTCCCTCCCTCTCTCTCTCTTTTCATCTTTGTGTCTCAATGTTTGTAAGTATGCGTGTTTTATGTGTGTGTGTGTGTGTGTCGCATAGTCGTGTCGTTGGTAGCCGACAAGATCCCATAGACGGTGCGACGGGGGTTGTAGGAAGGGGTTAGAGGCACGCATGAATGGAAGGTTCATTCATGTGGTCGGCTTTCCTCGTACACACGCTGTCGCCGACTGCCTCCGCCTTCTACTTTTGTTTCTACCGTCGGGCATCGATGTTACGCGCGCGCGCGTGTTCCTCCTCGAAACAATACGCTCGTTTCAATCCCGTGTTGCATCAGTGTCCCTCTATCGTTCACCTGAGATTTATATGCTCCATTGTTGACACGATAATTCGATCGTAGTCGAGATATCGATAACTATACTAAACGTGGAGTTAATCGATACGGTATTTGATATATTTTATCGTAATTTTGTATTAGATTATGTAAGGATTAGAATAAAATATTCGATTAAATTTCGAATAAATTAGATGAATATGATTTTCAATAATTAATTCTTTTAACTTTGTCGAGTTTCATAATTTGAATAAATTTCGATCATGGTTGAGATACTAACGTGGAATCGATCGATATTTCGAAATCTCGATTTACATTGCAGTACTAAAAATATTTGTCTTCTAGGTAATCCACCAATTAATTTGCATAGTCGTTAGAGAAGGTGAGAAAATCTCTCATGGTTAACTTCTATTCTTTTAAAATTTAAATTATCCACATACTTCAAATCAATTTAAAGATCAGATAAAACTCGATAAAAAATTAGATAACAGTGTACGATATTTCGTTAAAAAATTTCGAAAATTTTTCATCTAAAATACGAACAAACAAGATCAAATACTTTATTTCACTTTCCCCTTCACAACTTCGAAACCGTTTGAACCGACGATCGTGTTTCACCAGATAAGCAAACGCAACTAATAACTTTCTTCCTCAAAGTCTACGTTCAAACGGTCAATCACCATAAATTATCACTTTCTATTCGCGTGCAACGTCTAACTCTGTGGTGCGCGCACTCGAGATCGCGACATATGCAAATTAAACGCTTCATTCTTGAAACGCAATTAAGCGTGAACCGAGGGCGTTACAAATGAAACGATCTGTGCTGCAAGAAACCTATGCTATTCTTCGATTCGCTATATCGAGATCATGGACTTTCTAATCGTTCTAATTATCTTAAGAATTTTTTTTATTTCGCAATCGAAGAAAAAATCTTTCGTTTCAACGAGAATTGTAGGCCTCTTGCGAGAAACTTTGTGTAATGTAAATGGCTGGAGGATCGACCACGTGTGTGTGCGTGATCTCTGTTAGAGATCATCTTTAACAGTGGCTTCCACGTTGAAATGGCCGCGTGACAACCGAAGTTCCTCAATCCTCAGTGACAATCTGGAGGCAGGAACTCGTGAATCAAGATTGTGCAGTCAGATAATATCATTGTAACGATAAATAACTATGTGGATATATACAGGATCGTTCTTGGATGGTGTTCAAGTTTTGCTCGCAAGCAATTTTTAATGAGGATTCGTTATAATAGAAATATCTTTGAACTATATTCCTGAAAAATTAAAAATTTTTGTGATAGTAATATGAAATGAATTTTAGCTAAATTCCAATTGAGCTATATAAAATGAATTAAATTACATTAAATTCACTTACTTAAACGAGTTCACGTAAATGGAATAAACGTTTCTTCCACGTATCCCATAAATTTCAAACGTAATCGTTCGAAGAAGTTACCTGCGGAATAAGTAACTGTTGTATAATCTCCAAGAATCAATAAATACAGATTATTTGAATTATTCGCAAGAATATATTTCGCAACATGTAAAGAATTGGATATTAATGAGCTATAGAGAATTATCGAATTTCTTCTTATACAATATTCAATATCCTCGTCTGAAACACCCGGTTCATTCATCAAACATTTCTTCCACGTATCCCATAAACCTCGAACGATAATCCAATCTTTCCATTTCTTCAGAATCACCTTGTACAACACGCATACAAGAGCGAGGAGTGGGGGTAAATAAATGGTGGGTCGGATCGTTTTATATCGAGCTGCTATCTCGAGCACTTTCTTTCTTCGTCCATAAGGCTAGAAGGTTCGTCTTATATGGAATAAGGGCTGCTTATGTGCACATGTACGTATACGTGTTCATATAAGATTGTTTCCACGTTGAGGGATGCAAACGCGTCTATCTTTCCTTGGTTACGAGCGAAACTTAAGTACTCACACTGTTTGATGAATGGACCGCGGGACATGACGCAGCACGTGGGTGGAATTACAGACGATCCACGTTATTGGAAATACGGTAAACGATCGTTCGAGAGATACGTTTCAACGGTAAAGCTCGGATATGTCGTAAAATCTACGTGGAAAAGTCGAGAGACTCGTGACGTTTGATTCGATGGAAAAATGTTTGGAGAAAGTGTTTCTCTTGAACTTTGATATTCGTATGTGTTGAATATTAATTTATACAGGAAGAGAAGAGAATGTACAGATACTATTGTATATCTTCTTTTCTTTTCTATTTTATTACTTTTTTCTAATTTATTTTTGTGCTTTTTTATTCATAAACTCAAATACTTTATTCATCGAATATTACATAGAAACTTAACCTAACCTAAGACACGCAGTACGAAAATAGATCCAGATTTTAATTATGTATAAGTTTTTTAATCAACGAACTCCCAGATTGGAAAATCGATGTATTTTAATATTCTTTATTGATCTATTGAACTATCAAAAAATACAAAAAGTAAAGTTAGAAAAAAATGATACCTCGAAATCAAGTTACTTTTTTACTGATTTCGGAACGCTCGGAACGCGAAAGAAAACTAGAGACGTATGCGCATGCGTATTTGTATGTTATCGAAATATAAACGAAGGAACGAACGGAATAGCTGGAATAGTATCACGCGGCATTAAGCAGTCGGGAAGATTTGCGATCGATGGCGCGTATTACTAGGTTCGATTTAAAAGAAGAGAAAGTCACTTATCGTGGGGATTAAACGGGGCAAATTGTTGCGAATCACCATTCCCTTTAACGATCCAATAAAATTCTACTCCCCACTGTACTCTTCATTATCCCGCTTCATTCCCGATGAGATTATACCACCGATGCTCATGCGTATCTCCCCGAAGACATAAACCTCTATTTACGATTATAGTGGCAAGAAGCCGCGATATCTTGCGTATAAATTCCTTTGTTTTTGCGTTTCGGCATCCATCGTGTCCCAACTTCTTTTCTTATTTACGATTTTCATCAGGTTCTTACCGTTTTTACCCAACCCAATGTTATCCCAATGCAATTATATCAGGGTTTTTGGCAATTGCGCGCTTTCAATTTTTTTTTTACTCGGGTGACGAGTATTAAATTCCGCCACTTTCGAATTAATATCGGATACGATTATTTTCACATTTCGCTTTTTCTAATTTTCGTTTATTTTTTTTTTTATCGAAACCTTCCCATATACTTATCCTATTTTCGTTTCTTTTCATTAAATATGAAATCAATTTTCTGTATTTCCATCGTTTCCCCACCAAATGTCTCGAATAAAGGTAACGTCCCTCGTTTCTGGGTGATATTTTCCCGCAACTTTTCAACGACGAGACACCACAATCTCCACAAAGAGGCGCATAACAAACTTCTTTTCACGTGTTCGAGTGTCCGTGCAGAAGAAACGAGGAATGTTTACGAGATTTTCTCTCTTCTCCCGGCTTCGCTGCCCTCTTCTAGGAATGCAACGATGCAACCACCGCGCTTCTCCACAAGTTTTCTCGAGTTCCGACTCCGATCTTATTTGTAGAGGCAGCTATTATCTTCGAAAAACGCGGCTGAATAATGTCCGGGTTGGCGATGCGCCGGTGGAATACGATGTTTGATGAATGAAGGCGAAGAAGAAGAAGCCGGTGGTGAACCAGACGGACAGGGTCTGGCTCGCTTCCTCTTGAATGGGGAAGAGCCGGAGGAGACGACGGCCGCCTTTTTAAAACTCTCGATCCCGCGTCGTTAGCCACCGATAATTCGTTCGCTCGTTTTCTCCGTATATGGCCGGCCAACGAATCGAGTTAACTCGTATTTATTCCCTGTTTCTTGCCTCCCTGTTGCTTTATGATGCCTATCCTCGTGTCGTGTAATTATTAATTCCCCGGGCAAAAAGAGATTTTGACTCGTTTCGTTTTCGGCCGAGGTGTCCGTGAAATTTGTATCCTCGTGTTCGTCGTGGAATAAAATTTAATACTCTTGTACATTTATACGCATATTATACATACACACACACACGTATATATATATATATATACATATATCTCGAAGAAAAGAATCGTTGAATCTTAATAATGAACGTGAACCTTCTCGACTCTGGAAACAGATGAGAGTTGAGAATAATTTTTCTAAATTGAAATTTCTGTGAATTTTCTGTGAATCAAATTTAAAAAAAAGCAGATATTGGACAGAATTTTTCGTCTTCTCTATAATGATAAAATATTCCAAAATAGTCATATCGAAGCATACAAGATGTTGAAAAACGATCGAATTGAAAATATCAATTGAATCATTAATTCGATTAAAAAAAAAAATACAATCATGCACAACACTATAAAAAGCCACTCTTATCTCTAATCACATTACCAATCCTGCGAAACAAGTAATCCGCGGTTCGTTGAAAATAATAATCGTTCATTCCGTTTTTTCCATTATCCGGTTAATTATAGAACGTTCTTCTCTGAAATTTTGAAACGAGTTAACATCGAAACATTTGTAAAAGGATTATTCCGATTCGCACTCTAATTCCTCCACGCTCCTCCATCCCCAAGGTCCGCCATTCGTGCCCCATGATTCACGGGTGGCAATTATATTCGTTAATAACAGGTTACAACAATCGCTTCATGAATATTTCCTCGTTTTCTCGTCCATCAAGGATATATTCCTCGAGCAGAACCAGATACCGGCAAGCCTTGTCCACCGCGTTTTTTCACCCACGATATAATGTTGTTACAGCGTGTTTTTTTCTTTCTTCCCCCTCCCCCCCTCTCTCTCTCTCTCTGGTATCCGCGTAGCGATTAATAATCATTTATTGACTCGGGAACTGTTCACTCCCACGCGTGACTTCCACGAAACCACCGCGGTTTCAGATGACACCTGGTGATTTACAAACCGGCTGGGTTTATTTAATAACGCGAGAGGCTAGGGTATGAAAGGTACCCGGAAGATCGTTCGATGAAAGATATCGAGGGGTTCAACGGCACTTCGGATCGGTTGGTATTCTAGAGATAGGCATAGCGGCAGAGCTGGCCTATCGTTGCCCCGCCAAAAACAGATATCTCTTCTGAGTTCACCGTTCTCACCGAAGCAACAATGAGAACTTTTTTTTTTCTCTCTTTAAATTTAACGCGTTGATATTTCAGCCAAGTGTGGCGAGTTATTGTTATGTTTTTGAATGAAAATAGAAGTTTCTTAAGCAGCAAG